GTCGTGGTCATCGCGTCATCGGCGTCATACACTTCAACTGCGCCGTCCAACGTAGGGTGCGCAGAGGATGAGTCGTCGTGGCACAGATGGTCATCATCATCATCATCATCATCATCATCATCCATCATTATCATCATCATGAATCATGACCAGCATCATCGCGATCCATCCTCCTTATTATCATGATGCATCATCATCATCATCCATCACCATTGACATTGTAGACTTAGCCTCTATCTTCCGTCCGTTTTGCCTTTGCGCCACCAAGAACACCACTGCTACAGCGCCCTCAACGCTCGATATGCGGCTTGGCAGTTTGCCCCGTAGCTGCCTTTGTTTCTGCAAGGCAAGCCCCCTCAAAGGAAACCCTTTTTTTGGAGCTTATTTTGGGACCCCTCGGCGTCGATCGTCGATCGTCGTCGGCTGTCGGTTGGTCGTCGGCGCTCTCCGGTGAAGCGGTGCTCAACACAGGGCGCACCTGTGTTGAAATGGGTCGTCGGTCGTCGGCGTTTGGGATTTTTCCGCAGTGGGGGGTAGCAGCCCCGAGTGCGGAAAACTCACATTCTGGCCAACTTGGCAATAGTTGCGGAACTCGCGAAGTGTTCGGAATTCGCGCAGTGGCCTCTGAAAAACGCGACTGCGGAAAACTTCCATTCTGGTCAGCTTGGCAATACTTGCGGAATTTGCGAAGTGTCACCTGGAAGAGGACACTTCGGATCGTGCGTCATTGTCGTGGATGTGTTGTGCTACCACTTCCACTGCTACCACTTCAACTGGTACTCCTGGTGCTAGTGCTGCTACGACTACTACTACGACTGCGACTGCAACTACTACTACTACTACTACTACTACTACTACTCTGCTACTACTACTACTACTTCTACGACTGGTGCCGCTAGAACTGCTACTACTAATCCTACTAGCACTGCTACTACTACTACTACTACTGCTACTACTGCTACTACTACTCGTACTGGTACTAGTATTACGACTACCACTGCTACTACTACTGCTACTACTACTATTGCTACTGCTACTGCGACTGCCACCGCTGCAAGTTTTGCTGCTGCAAGCACTACCGGCTTCGTCGCATTGTTACCAGTGCTGTTACCAATGCTCCTACTGCTAGGTAGAGTAGCGCTAGGTCCTAGCAGCGCTAGTCGAGTACTAGTACTAGTGCTACTACTCCGACGACCGCTACAACAACTTCTTTGCTACTACCACCACGAATAGTACTACTACAACAACAACAACTACTACTACTACTACTTCTATGACTACAACTACTACATCTTCTGAAGCTACTACTACTACTACTACTACTACTACTCCTCCTCCTACTGCCAGGTTACTTGTTGTGGATCCTGAGAAAAAACGTTTCTTGATCCCTCAGCCGTTGGCTGTGCGATTTCTCGTACAAATTGTTGGTGCGTGTTTGGCGGCACGATAAACTCTCGTGCAAGTTGGCTCGCGCAAGTTGGTTCGTGCAAGATCGGTTTTGCGATCGTTCTTGTGCAAGTTGGCTCGTGCAAGTTTGGCTGTGCGACTTCTCGTGCAAGTTCGGCTGTGCGCTATATTCTCGTGTGCGTTGGATCGTGCAAGCTGGCTTGCGCAAGTTTGGCTGTGTGATAAGGCTGGCGATTTTACCGGAAGAACCCTTCGCAATGCTTTCGAAGAGCAAGAGAAACAACAAGAACAAAAACACAAATAATAACAACGACAAGAGCAAGAGCAATAAGGAGAGCGGGAAGAGCCGCAAGAACTTCAAGAAGAAGAAGCAACAAGAGCAACAAGAGCAACAAGAACAACAAGACGAACAAGAGCAACAGGCGCAACAAGAACAGCAAGAACATCAACAAGAACAACAAAAACGATTAAGAAAAAACAACAAACACGACAAGGGCAAAAGAAACACGAAGAAGAACAACAAGAAGAACAACAACGCAGACAACAAGAAGAACAACAAATCAACAAGAAGGACAACGCGAAGGACAGAGCGAAGAACGCCGCAAAACAACCAACAAGAAAACAACAGGAAGAGCAGCGACCGAACCAGCAAAGAGAACGACAAAATCAGCAAGAAGGGCGACAAGAAAGGCAGCAACACGGACAACAAGAACAAGAGCATTAAGAGAACAACAAGAAGACGAAGAGGAATGCGAAGAACAAGAACAAGAGCAAGGACAAGAACAAACAAGAAGAACATGAAGTAAGAAGAAATCAAAGGAGAACAGGGAATAGCAGAAGAAACATAAGAAAAACAACAAACACAAAAACAAGAACAAGAAGAGCAAAAGCAACAAGAACGGCAAGAAGACAACGAGAAGAGCAAGAACAACAAAGTCAAGAGCAACAACTAGAACAAGCACAGCAACAACAAGACCAACAAAAACAACAAGAACAACCAACAATCCGACCAGCCAACCAAACGACAATGACGATGACAATGACGATGACAATGGCAATGACAATGACAACGGCAATAACAACGACACCTGCAACAAACACAAAAGAACGCCAACAACGACAACAACAACAGCAACAACAACAACAGCAGCAGCAGCAGCAGCAACAACAACACCAGAAACAACAACAACAGCAGCAGCAACAAGAACAACAACAACAACAACAACAACAACAACAACAACAACAACAACAACAACAACAACAACAACAACAACAACAACAACAACAACAACGACAACCACGACAATCACGACAACCACGACAAACACGACAACGGCCGTGCCGCCAACAATTGCAACAATGGCAGCAACAACGCCGCCGTTAACACTTCGACCAGCAGCAACGGCGGCAGAAGCAACAGCAGAAACAACAGCAACAACACATCCACCACAAATTTGGCCTTCAATGCCGGAAATCGTTGGGCTAGCGTGCCAGCCACGTTTCGCTCTCTTTTTATGCCAGTACGCTGCACTTTTGCCACAACATGCTGCAGGACGCAGGGCTGCGGTGGTGTGACGCGCCGGCTACAACCTTCAGTTGTTGGAACTCATGCTTGGCGCTGGCAATGAGCGTCGCAGCATCACATTGGCTTAGTCGTCACAAAAAGGCAGCTAGTTTGAATTGGCAGCCAAAGTAGTACTCAACGCAATGCAACCGGAATCTTTGCGGGCCCCGAAGTTGTGCGAACAAAAGTGGAGCGCTTTTTCACGATGTCATTGATTGGGATTTGCAGAGTGGCAAGGCACGAGAATGCTTTGACTGATGTTGTGCCTTAGAAACGATGAAGTTGTTACACAACAGGCGCTGTGATACAGCAACTGCAGACAGAAAACCCGCTCATGCAAGCGGCTGCGACTTGCAGCAACTGCCTCCTCCGGACTTCAGCAAACCGTCATGTCTGGAGTTTGGCCATGCGTGTGTCACAGTGATTTGCGCGACGTTAAGCGCCAGCGGCCTCTCCTAAGAAACAATGGGGAGTCGTGCTTAATGCAAACCAAACCAGAAACATTTGACTGTGTGTTGTGGCAAACAATCAGCCTTTTTCGCAAGGTCGTGAAAGCAGAACTTAGAGGTTGGATATTGGATTGTTTTTTCTAAACAACAATGCTGAGTGCATTTCCCATGCTGTTTCAAGTCGGTTTCCACCTTCGGCCCGTGCTGATTGAAATGACAATGAGTATGGCGCAACACATATTCCACTGCAGCCAGGACTTGAGGGCGAAAGTTGTATCAAAACATTTCCGTGAAAAACATGGGTTGTTCCTATTTGGGGTAGTTGTGCCGAAAAGTCAAATTCTGGATTTGATTGCGGGAATTACTTGATTTCGTTTCACTTGCTTGATGAGACTATTTTGGTTGGATTGCTTTGAAGATGGCTGGGCTGCGTTTCAGATTGTAGCATTCTATTGTGAGGCTGTCAGATGAATCACCCTCAGGTCTGGATTGGTGGGAACGGGCCTTGACACCCTCGTTGAGAGTAAACCAGAAATCACCCTCGTATTTTGCAGTATGTGCTTGCCTGCGTTCCCCGGGGCAGCGATTCTGGTTATGTCTGGTTTGCGTACAACGCTCCGGTCCAAAATCATTGCACGCAGGCATGATGAAGCTTTATCACAAGCAGGCTTGGTGGTCGTTTCCTTTGTTGTAGTGGATCCACTCTACACGGATCACGGATTCGGAATAGGGTCCTGATTTTACCCAGCGAAATTACCACTGCTTGCTCATGTGTATCAAGCTTCGCCGCGCAGTCGAGGATCAACGGGAACCACATGGATCAAGGTTGAGTGCATCAAACCAACCACTTTGCCAAGCATTTTTGGTCTTGCTTTGGTTTGCAAAAGAGAGAGAGAGAGAGAGAAAACAAACAAAAACGACAACCAAAAAGACTAAACATACTAGTAGTAAGAAACTGTAAGCCTTGAGCGTATCCGCGCCTTACACATTGGACTACAGGTGACATGGCTTTGAAGCTTCACTCTCGCTCCGAAGCCCCGCGCATGGCGCGGAGATTCGCGGCGATGAGCAGCAAGTCCAGATGAGGCAGTCAGAACTCTTCGCAATCTACTGAACAGGGCAGCCTCAACTTAAAAAGTGGCGGTCGACAGAGCCTGCCAGGCCCCATGATGCTCATGCGCCGCCTCCGCCATCTGGTTTGCCACCGCCACGGCCCCCAGGTCATGTCCAGGACAGGTTATCAAATCCGGTTTGGTGGTCTGGATTGGGTTGGGGATTTGAACTCCTTGTTCTGGGAAAATTGGGAAACCATCCCTTGATCACCAATCCAAACCACAAATTAGGGGGCTCCTCTCCACTAACACGGAACCTGAACGGACCTTGGTTCCTGTTAGCGGACCAGGTACCCTGACTAACTGACTTTTGGCCTCTGGATTGGTCCATACCGATCCAAACCGCTCCAAGCGCAGCCCGGATGCCGGGGCGCTTCGGGATTTCGACAGGAGCGGCCACAGCGGGTGCCCTCCAAGTCCCACGTGCGTTCGCTGAGCGAAGGCGTAGATGGCCGGGCCTCCCGAGAAATGGGCGAGGAGGCGCGGGCCAAACGAAGCGCGCGAGTGGCACTCGGACCTCGGAGCCGGGACCCGGTTTCCAACTTTGCCCTTAGGGAAGACATGGCTCGGTAAAGACATGGAGGCGCCAAAGATGTGGGAACTTTGAGCCACGAGCCGGTGTCCGAGCTCAATTCAGGCGCTGAGTTTGAGTAGCACACTCAAAACAAAAAGGCAGGGGTGAGCCCACTTTGAATCGTTGGCTCATGTTGGTAAAGGGTTCAAGCGTTACTGACGTTCAACCATGGTTCTTCTGAACCTTCAATAGAATTATCAGCAGTACCAGATTCGAGCCACAGTCAATACTTACCATGATGTACTGACGTACAGGTACGGGATGACATGGCCTGCCCTCACCAAATTACCGTCAGAAGAATCGCGGAGCAAGCTCTCGTTGTCCCCAGCTGCGTTCAAGTGTAGATACAGGTCGATAACTCTTTGGGGGGGTCTCCATGTTCTTGATATTTTTCCCATGTGTTTCAACAGTCAGACAGCCGAATGCGACTTTTGGCGGCTCAGGGTTGGTTTTTGTTGGTCTAGTGGGGTTTCCATTTCACCCTTTGGTTGGTCTAGTGGAGTTTTACCCACAAGTTGTTTTTGTTGTTTTTTGTTGGTTTCTTACCCACAAGTCAGTCAGCTTTTAGCAGGGGATTGACCAGCAGGGACAGCAACCAGAGCTCATTCGCGCGGGACCCGTAGCGTTCAGGAGGAGGCGGCGGCCAAGCCTGGCGGCCACAACATCCTGGTGGCGGTGCGCTGTCGCGCGCTGCTGCCGCAGGAGAGAGCTGCCGGAGGCGAGAGGTGTGAGGTGTCACCGAGTTGGTAGGACGGTAGCTGAAGCCTAAGGAAACCAAGCAAGGGGGGAGTTCCAAAGAAAAAGGACCCCAAGGTGGCAAAGAGCCTTGGTCGAAGTTTTGAGCCGCAAACTGGCTATTGGGCATGTGCAGTTGTTTTGCCCTGAGGTCATGCCATCATCACGATTTGCAACGGTACCACCGTGATCTTGGAAGATCCCCACACCACTGCTGCAGATGATTACCTGCGCGCGGTGCCCAGATGGGACTTCACACGATTCTGCGGTTTGCGATGCAGGCTGAAGCCAAGACTTGCGCTGAGGTCTGAACAAATCCAAGGAGCGACGGTATCACTTCGACCAAGCCTTGGAGGAAACAGCGCAGAATATCGAGGCGAGGGCATTGACATCTCGAACGGGACTCAAGCAGGTTGAAACCCCAAACTGGTTGCTTTCCTTTTTTTTTTAAACCCGCCACATGGTGTTTTTTTGTTTTTTGTTTTAACCCGCCACATGGTGGAGATTTGGTTTTGAGATACATTCCTGAGGTCTATGAGCGGACAACGCGCTTCTTGATTCCTAGTGTGCGTGGCTGAGAAGTGAGCGAGACTGAAATGGCTTTGGAGAGAGACAGAGACAGGCACACTTCACGCTGCCCCAACCAGACGAAAGGAGGGGCCTGGAAGACTCTCTAACAATAAGAGTTTTCTCTAGGCCCGGAAAAAGATACGGCTGGAAAACAGCATGTCAAACAACGCCCAACGAAAGGTCGCAGTTGAACTCTAGACCCTCGTGTTGCAAGGTGATTCAAGGCTTCAACGCCACCGTCTTTGCCTATGGAGCCACAAGCGCCGGCAAGACCCACACCATGCTGGGCTACCCTGGCGAGCCGGGGATCATGCTGCTGACCTTGAGGGACTTGTTCAGCGAGGTGGGGAACCAGAAGAGCAACCTGCATTTTGAGAGCCTCAGACGGATGGAGACACAAAACGAGAGCAGGGAGCAGGGGCTGGTTTTGTTGTGCTTGAGAAGAATCGTTGGGGGCTTAGTTATTCTTTGGTTAGTCTTCTCATGTTTTGGCGTGTGGGGGGTGGGGTGGGGCGCGGTCCGGCGATGAAACAACGAACAAAGACCGATCTGGTGGTTGGGCTGGATGGAGTCATTTGGCCTGTGAACGATATTCTGCTGCGGCTTGAGCTGAGGATCAAGTGCTCCTTTCTAGAGGTGTACAATGAGAATGCGCCTCGGTGCAGCAAATTTATCAACACTGCTCAAGTGAGTTTGTTGTTTTTTGGGAACCATTGTGTGGACGTGTTTAATGGGAGCCCCAGATTCAAGAACATGAATAGGGGTGGCCCATTTTAAAGGCGGATCCTGCAATCTATGAGTGTTGTTCATCCGGGGTCAACATGCCTTTCTTTAGGGTAGTTTTTTTGCGGGGACTTCAAATGAATCCAAAGAAAAACGCCAAGGGGAAGCCGACCATTTTGGGTTGTCCTTTTTGGGGCGTTCCTTTTGGCTTCCCTTCACAACCGCAGCTCCAGTAGAAATCTCTGCGAATCCAACTTCGAGGTGCGAGACCTGCTGCGCCAAGACGGGGACTTCTTGGACATCCGAGAAGACCCAGTCAAGGGCATGTGCGTTGCAGGCCGGGAGAATGAATCACGTAACAAATCTTTTGTATTTGCGCGTTTGCGTTTCTGTTTTTGTTTCTTCGTTCGTTCGTTGGTTTGGGTTTCCGTGGCTCTCTACAGCTTTCCGATTTTGGGGCTTGGCTGATCGCGACGACCGACGACTGCCGGCCTGTTTGAAGGCTCCCGGATCGGGGGGATCGGGGGGATCGGGGGGACCTGGATCCACGCCAGGCACCAGTTGGCATGGTTTATCAACCAGTATTCTTTATTCATAGGGTTTTATCTATAGCTGGTGCAGAGTTTTGTCCATAGTAGGACTATCGCTCACCTTAGCCTGTGGTGTGGGTTGGTGCAAGGAAGCGCATAGGCTCGCGACGTGAAGTGACCTGTTTTTAAATTTTGGCTACCATTTGGTTGATCAAGGCAACCCATGTTCGGGCAAGTGCGAGTATTGCCCTTTTTTGCTCAGATCCTGGATTTTGCAAGGTTTTTATATAAGGAATTCAGCCACCCAAAGAGTCTCTAGTGCATTTTGCAGGTTCCCGAACCCTCCTTCCGGTCCGCGTTTCTGGTTTTGTATCTCCTTTTGAACCGTTTTGGTTCACCGGAAGTCCCCTTCAAAAGTTGCAATGGACCTTTGGTTTTTTGTTGAAACTGCAATTTCTGGAGGTAACGGGACACGATTTCAGGAAACCCCGGCTTTCGGCCGCGAGCACTTGTCCCAGCTCGCCAGGGATCAGCGAGGTGGGCGGTCTGGAGAGCGCCGAGGCCAGCCACAAGAACACGTCTTGCGAAGAAGATGTCCAGTATTTTCCATGGATGCATACATACCGATATATCCTATAAACACCACCATGCACATCTGTACATTAACTAAAAGCACATGAATAAGTAGATAAATAAGTGAATAAAGCATGTATATATATATATATATGTTACCCCGACATGGACCAGGCTCTTTGGTTTTAGCCGTGTTTTCCCAATCTCTATGCTTTTTGTGCATCATTGTTTCTGTGGCAAAGTGGGGGGGGGTACTATATGTGTGTACACATGTATATACATGTAGTGTAAGCATTGATGCCACCATTTGCCATCTTCCAGGTGTCTGCATGCATCTCAGGAATATTGGGACACACTAGAATTGTCAGACGAATTGTAAACACATGGGATTCAAGATTCAAGATTCAATAGTTTGAGAATAATATGCTTGGAATCTAAAATCTTTGTTTTGTCTTAGACATATAGTGCTGTCCAACTACTCTGGGTCTCCGAGTATGGATTTGAAGAATCCAAAATGGCAATCCACGAGTCTGTTTTCCAAGCATCAAATTGAGCACGTGCTCTTACCACTATAAACATGTAGTTTGGTGGTAGACAACCTGAGTGCGACATATTCAAGGGGCTCATAGAAATCAGGGACTAATGTCGGACCCTGTTTAATCATTGGGACCTCTTCAAGTACTTTGCCAATGTCAAGTTCCCGGGGCTGTTTTGGGCTCCTGTGTTATGGAACGTGTTTTCCATGTGTTGTGGAGAGCAAACGGGCGACAAATGCAAACTTTTTCGATGTTCAATGTTCGATCCAGGAATGCGATATGAGGAAATGCTGAAAAGCACAGAATGTTTCAACATGTTGTGCCAGGAAAAAGATCCATGTTTATTGACACTTGTTTGTTATTGGCTTGGTTACATTGGATAGGGAACACAACTCTCTTTTGAAGTTGAATTTGATTCCAGTTTTGACTGGCAATGTCAAGCGTTGTTTTCCCCTTGTTGTTTATTCGGAGTGCACAGGGAGCTGCAACCGGTTAAAGTTGCATTTGGTTTGAAACCCGCAGCAACATTTTAAATGGCAGAGGAAGTTGACACTGAGTAAACCGAAGCAGACAAGCACCACGTAATGTTGATGGGAGTTGCTTTGCAATGAGCAACTTGAACAGGAAGGAGTTCCCTTCCCCCAATTGAGGGTTTGCTGAGTTGCCCTGCATTTTTTTTAATACTAACTACTAGCAGAGCTGTTGCAATCACGTTGAAGCTGCCAAAGTGGATACTCTTGTGCTGAACAATTGAATTTTTGAGCTGGAGCTGCCAGAGCCTACTTTGCCTACTATGTAGTGAACAGTATGACCTTCGAGTTGTTTAAATAGGAACTTCTTCTCGAGGTGACATGTTGTTAGATAAGAATTTGGGTGGAGTTGAACCAGGGCTGGACATTAATTTTAAAACCCGTTTAAATACCCTGCATCCGCAAAGATCACCGTCACAGAGCAACCTCTCTCCTTTGTTGTTTTTCTTCTTTTGTTTTCTTTCTCTCTCTCTCTCTATACATATATATGTGGTAACAGGGGCCTTCACATGTACGAGGTAGACTCGTTCCCCCCCCCAGTCCACTCGGGCAAGTACTCGATCTGGTTGAGCCAGGAGATCATGGCGCTGCTGCACCAGGGCAACAAGAATAGGACCACGGAGGCAACTGGGGCAAACGCCGCTTGGTGGCAGCGTCACTTGAGCCACTTGCTCAAAACCCGCGTAGATGAAGGTGAGTAAGGGGCAGTCCCAGCCAGAAATAGTTGCGGCCGCCTTCTTAATTCTTTACACGGTTCTGGGTCGACCATGTTAATACCGGGTTTTGATTGTGACTCACTTGAGCTAAGATCCACTTGCGATCGGTGCGAAATCGGCAGGAAATCATAAAATTGGAAGGACAAGAAACAAAACACAAACCATCCGCTTCCTACGGTTTCCTTTGAGGGAATCCCTAGTTTCCTTCTAGTTCTTCACATACTTTTGGGTAGACCTGGTACTGTAAATACCAGGTTTGAATGATTCATTTATCCTCGGAGATCCCGGACTTTTTAATAGGCATGAAGACGGCTTGGAATCGCAATGAACGTGAGCACAACGGTTTCAACACCAGCTTGTCTTTCGGTCTCATTTGATGTGAGCATAGGTCACGAGCTCCAGAAGCCATGCTGTGCTGCAGGCGCCGTGTTTCTTTCTGGGCCGAGTCAATTTGCCACCCGTGGGGCACTTTGCATTTTTCCTTTAACGATGGCCACAGACGGGCGCGGTTAAAAAGGGGGGACCCTGCTGTGAGTGTTCTGTCTGTTGCGTGTGCTGTGAGTGTTGCGAATTCCGCGTGTTGCGTTCCGCGTTCTCAGTCGGCCCTTGAGTCGTTAAACTCCAGAGGCCCTGCAAGTCTTTTGCGGCATGAACTTTTATTGAAGAGTTTGGCGTGGCGACCCCTTTTTCCTAAATGGGAAGGCAGGGGTCCCAAGCTTCAAACGACTCAGACACCGCAGGTGATGGTGCACCAGAGGGACCGCACCGCTGATATCGTGGCCCATGTGAACCTGGGGAAGTTATCCATGATCGACCTGGCAGGCCATAAAGACACAGAAGTGACCGAGCGATCATGAGGGTTCACCATGAACAACGGTGAGCGGAAGCTGTACTCTTTTCGTCCATATGGCTGTGGGTCAGAACCAATGGTGCCATTTTGGGGTAGGTGCACCACCAATTTTAGTCTATTTTAGTTGTGGTTGGGATGTTCACTGGGGGTACGGGCTTTTGACCCATGGCCTGGTTTTGGCCGCCGTTTTTTGCCACGTCCAATCGAAGCCGCGCATGTTGGGTGTCCCTTGTGAGTTGCGAGAGATCCGTTCGCAGGTTCTGAGCGGGCCTCGCAGACCAACAACAAAGGCCTGGGACTGGCTTTGAACGGCGGTGGATCGCTTGAGCTCGAATCGTTTGAGGCGTTTGGGAATGAATAAGAAGGGGACACCACTTTGGAATTTTGGTCTGGGGATCATCCCCTAGAATTCCTGGAGAACCAGCGGGGAGTTGGAAGTGAGATGTGGCAATCTTGTTGTGTTTGCTTTGAGTGCTTAGATAAGACATTTGGCAGCTTTGGCTTTCAGATTTCAGGACGGATGAATCCATAGCATGAACCCAACATATAAACCCAATGTTTCCAGGTCCATTGTATTCTGGTATGTTCCTTTACCAGAGGAACCATGCCTGTGTCTTTGTTGGTGAAGCCTTTTCGGGTGATGCCATCAAGCTGCTGACCAAGGTGTTGGCGAGGGTTGAGAGGTCTGAATCGCAGTCCCATGGCAACAACCCCGAGTTTCGCGAGATGAGCCTTGTGTGCTGGCTTTATCCTTCGGAACAAAAATCCACCAAGGTCGTTTTGGTTTTTGACATGGGCAAGTAGAGAAGTAGCATATATACGCCGTGGCTGCTCGCGTGTTTGTTTGTTTACTTTTACGACGACGGCTGGCAATTCCAAGAGGAGGACTCACCTTGCGCGTTGTTTTTTTCTTTTTCGATGTAATTTCAAGAGGAGGGCTCCCCTTGCGCGGTGATCTTTTTTTCCTTTTCCTCTTGGATCGATCTTTTCGGTCGGTCGAGGCATGCGGATGATCGAGGGCGCCAACATCAACCGCTCGCTGCTGGCCCTGGGGAACTGCATCACCGCGCTGAGCTCCGCGGTGGCCTTCGTGCCGTACAGCGCCTCGGCGTATGCTGAGAGGTTTTTGGCTGCGAGCCGCTGGTCACTTGGCTCAAAGCCCATGGGATCCCAGGTTGGGGGGGGTTTTCGGTGAATGCACCACCCATGTTAGGACCTATTTTAGTGGTTGGATTGGAATGGGATCCCATTTTGGGGGGTTTTCGGTGCACCCAGTTTAGAACCTATTTTAGTGGTTGGATTGAATCGGATGTTCACTGGGGGTACGGGGGTTTGACCCATGGCCACTTGGCTTGAGGAGAACGGTGGGGTTCGCAATACAAAGGGAACCTCCCAGAAGGAAAAAAACAAGGCCGGGACTCGTTTTTTTTTTTTTTTAATCACAGCCGGAAAGAAGCCATTTCCGATGCTCACATTGCGCGGGATCGTGCACTCCAACAGGGTGGCATGGCGACACTTCTCGACGGATGTGATGCTGCTGATTCTGGCTTATTTGGAGTCGCCACCCAGCCCATGTTTGTTAGGCCCCTTGTTGCCCTTGTTTTTGTCGATAGCGGTTTAACCACCTGTTTGCAATGTGTCTTTAGTTCTTCAAAAGGGGTGATTCCCCCTCTCTGTCTCGTTTGTTTAATTTTCAATCGGGGTGTCACTCCTTCCCCTTTGTTGAACGTTTTTACGCCTGTCTTGCATCCTGTCTCTTGGGGACCCCCCTTGGTCGTGACTTGTCATTCGCTTTGTCAATGGTGGTGACGGCCCGGGCTTGTAATTTGTCTTTCATTCTTCCAATTGGGTCCCGCCCCTTGTTTACCCTTGCATTTGTCAGTCGGGGTGACTCCCTTGTTTGACGTGTTTTGCAGGTTGAACATTATTTGACGTGCATGTTCGCTAGGGGTGACACCCCTTGTTTGTTATATATATATACATACATATATATATATATATATATATTGTATCGTCAATATGTCTGATGCACCTTTCTCAGTGTTCTTGCAATTCTTGCTGCCTTCTTGTGTTAAGGTTCCACCCTGGGTACCCTAAAAATACTTGACCCGCACCTGGTGGGGGAACTCCTGCGTTTTGCTCTCTGCAGCGACCACCCTGAGGAGACTCGAAGATGACGAGATTGCTGAAAGATTCCTTGGGAGGGAACTGCCGTACTGTGATGAGTCTTGGCCTAGTCCTATCCCTTGCGCTTTGCGTGCACGCGTAGTTTCATTCTTTCGCAGTGCCTAGAGACTTGTTGGTTCTCAGCAGGGAATGCCCCTATAAAGCCATCCATTTCCTGTGGTTTCCTTCAAGGAAATCCCAAGATTCATTCCAACACTTTGGGTCATTCCCGAAAAGCATGGACCAACCAAGGGCAGGCAAATGTGTGTGTCTGTGCAAGCCTTGCTTTCGACACAAGCCCTCAGCCGCAAGCCGTGAGGATAGCTAACGTCAGCCCATGCCACATCAACTACGAGGACACCCACAACACCCTGCCGCTGGAATTTAATGGAGGCTGTGAATCGCAGCACTTGCCTGGGCTTTAGGGACGTGATTTGCCTCCGCTCAGGAAGTATGCCAACCGCGCCAAGAACATCAAGACCAAGTCTGTGCGCAACGCCGTGGCCTCGAAGGGATCTACCTTTGGGGTGCCAGTGCCGGCACCTGGGGATGTGGGTGTGGGTGTGTCAATTTTTCGTTCTTTGGGGGGCACCCCTGCTTTGTTTACAGGGCACCACCAGGAAAACCGGCAACTTTCGGGGCCCGTAAGGAGCCACACCCCTTTGACGATGCCAAGGTGGCACAGGTGAACTACCACGTGTCGAAGTACACGGAGATCATCAAAGACCTCAGGAATCAGACCATCGCGAAGGGCTGTAAGTCAAGAAGTCACCCTATGCGGCAATGTCAAAACCAGGGCGTGTCTCTAAAAGAGCAACCCCCCAAATGGATGGTTTCCATTTGTTTTCCCTTCCAAACTAGCTCAAGAGAGGTGCAATTAATTGCAGTCCCAACTATGGATATGCTGTACGCAGCGGAGGGCTCTCGCGGCTTGCACAGTTTTGGGTATGGTTGCCATACCTTTGGCGTCCCCTGGTTCAGACTCTATTAAAACAACCAAGCTTCACAAGGGTTATAGACATGTCCATGTAGCTTGGATCCAAACCACCAATTCAGGCTTACCTGAAAGATGCGGACCTAAAAAACCTTCCCGACAAAAGACGGGCAGAAAAAAAACAAGCAAACAAACCTATGAAGCTTCCTGTAGCAGGGTACTTGAATATGAGCGATATATGAGGTGTATCACAACAATGGACGTAGGGGCCTCAACTGGACTGTGGTCTTCCAAAACCCCTGGTGGTCCACTTCTGGAGAGGAAAGAAAACCGGGCTCCTCATAAACAACGGATTTTTGGGCCCAATGGCGTCCACCCGCGAGCAAAAATACAAAGGGAGGGGGGGGACCCTAAAAAGCAAGGCATTCCTTTTTGGCGTCCCTAAAAGCCTTTCGCCTCAACAAAAAAAAACACGCCGACTGTTCTAGTCATGTGAATATTTGTCCCGGATTTATGGGCACTCCCTGTGATACCCGCACGACCGCCAAGGGGAAGCTGAACATTTCTTTCTCCAAAATAAGGGAAACCACCCAAATCATGGAACCCACCCAGAAAGGGTATTTTTCGCCTCCAAAACGGTGTCTCGCACCCATTTTTCTTTCAGGTCGCAGTGGCTACGATTCTTTTGTCGGGAACTGCCTCAAAAGTGGTTGGTGGACATGAGCCCCCACCGAAGGGTCCGTAATTCATACGCTCACTAACACAACACCTGTGTCAATTCTGGATCACTTGAGTACCTGGCGCAATGGCAACGGAGGGAGTGTACTTCACCGTTGTTGGCATGTTGTCATTCGTTCTTTTGGCTCCCTTCATTTTTCGCACAAAAACAGATAGACGCAGCTTTTGTTCCTTCTTGTCCTTTTTTTTTCGGCTCCCTTTAATTCTTTCAGGGGCCGGGTTGGCAAAAAAACGCGCGCCCACGGCAGGAGCGAGATCCAGGAGCTGAAGGCCAAGCTCGCGGAAGGCGGCGAGGGCAGCCTGGCCGTGCGCGAGGACGAGTGCTGGTTGGGAAGACGTGGCTGGGGGTTTGGCCCTCGGGGTCCTGTGAGACTTTGGGAGCTTTGGTTTTTGTTGGTCAGGGGGAGGTAAGAAAAAAATGCCAGCAACAGTTGGGTCTCCAAGAGATGGATTTTTTATTTTTAAACCAAGGTCGGCAAGCCTGCCAGCTGGAGAGAGGTTTGCCAACCCGAAGGCAAGCTGAAACCAAAGCCACCCCAAGTCAAGGGACCTCAAACCCGGAGCCGCCCAAGGCTGGCGTTGAGCCCTGGGGCCCCTTGAGTTGGGAGGGGGCCGTGATCTTCCCTCTGGCAGAGGTCATGTTGCGGTCACATGGCCGCTCAAGTTTTTGGATTTGTGCCATTCTTGGCGCCAGGAGGGAAATGGAGCCGAAGACTCGACACTTTTGCGGTTTGCCGTAGCATCTGAACATGTTGCGCCCCTGAAACCCGCAGGATGTGCCGGAGATGGACAGTGGGGAGGAGATGGACACCGCGCAGAGTGTGAAGTGGCCCGGGGCCCGAGTCGAGGCAGTGGTCGAAACCCGGGCATGTTCAGTCAAGTTAGTCTGTGCTTAAAGGGTAACAGATTGAGGGGTAAGGGCGGAATGACTCTTGGGACGTGGCTTCAGCATGTCGAACGTCACGTTGAGGTCACAGATGGGCCCAGGTGGTTCGCCAACTTGGTCGTAACTGGTCCGGCAACTGGCGGTCCCAGAGGTCCCAGAGGCCCAAGGGATGAGCTTCACACGGATGGACCGGCATGTCGAAGGTTTCATCCGAAGGTTTGCCTGAACCAGCCGAAGGGGGGGTGGAAGCACAATGGAAGCACTTCACAAAAGGCGGGGACTGAGTTTGAGAGACAAGAACATCCTCATTTTTTTTAGGAAGAAGTGGTATGGTTAGTGACCCTGGTAAATTCATTCCCTGGGGTACAAAATCCTCAAGATCCACACCGCTCAGGTGGGGTCGTCCAAAAACAAACCAGTTCCAAACCGACCCCGAAGCGACACACCAACCACAAGGCAGCCAAGCTCAAGCTTGCAACTTTTTACTCCACCACTTTGAAGACTTGGCATCCAGGTCTGGGGTAACTGCAGCGGTGCTTGTGCAGGGTCTATTGCCTTGTGTGTAGAGAACAGCGTGAATCCCTTGCGATGAGGCATATTCGCGTGGCTCTTGTGTAGACCGTGGATCCTTGCCCAAGGCCAACCGTGTGATCTTTCGGTTTTCCAGTTCCGGCCCGTCAGAGCTTCCAGCAAGTGGTTGCCTCTCTTTGTTGCCAATTGAGAATCTTGCCCTTCTCCCATCGTCCCCCTCAAAAAGAAAAGGGATGAAACAGTTCTTGCATCCGAGTCCTGACAAAATTACTGTTTGTTGAAGCATGCTTTGTTCGAGGAAGCAAGTGATTCTTTGTCCGTTGAGGAAGCATGAGCTGATGCAGAACTTCGAGGAGAGACACGACGTCAGACCGTTCGAGTCGGAAGGGTAGCTATACCAGCAGTTGGAGGGCCACTAAGCATTGAGGGCCAGAACCTTTCCGGTTCTCCAGGCAGCTACTTTGTACAACCCAATTAGTCTCCAGAGCTGTATCCTGAGCAAGGCAAAGCCAAATGATAGCTGCGCATAGAACTGGAGGCCTTCCTGGGAGGGGTTTGGAGCAACTTCCAGGGAAATCAGCAAGTGGCCATGGGTTGCAGAACCTATGGCTCCATTTTGGGGTGGATGAACATCCATTTGCCACCTATTTTTTTATGTTCACCAGGGTTTGCCATCTGGTTAAGAAAGTCCATGGCCGCATTTTTCCACCCTGGCGGTCTGGTGACGACTTTTTGACCCCCGCCATCTCCGTGGTGGAGACCGCCCGTCGGGTTTTGCTCGAGGAGCGGGTCCGCATCAAGCGGCGCCTCATCGACCTGGCCCATGCGACCTGCCGAGAAATCGAGACATCGAGACATCGGCATTCCGCGCGCCCAATTTTATGCGTGGAATGGTCCAGGGCAAGAGGTCCAGGGAATCGTTTTTCGCGCCATGGACCTTGGGCTGGGGAATTTTTCTAGCAGCGGTGTTTTTTTCTCTCTGAGTCTATCAGTAGTTGTGTTTTGGTTACTTTTTTTTTTTTTTTTCTCAAGCGAACTTAAGCAAGTGGAAGCTCGCTGGCTCAGGTTGAGCCATCCGGTCCCTGAAAGCTTTTCTTTTTTTAATTAAATCTTTGCAGCTGGTTTGAGTGGTTGGGTTTCCGAACATTTAACCCACAAGTTAGTCACTTTTACCAGGGGATCCGAGGACAGCCCAGTTAGGGGATGAATGCACTAGCTGGTAGAGAGAGGAGCTGAGGGAATGGAAGCAGTTTGCTGCTAGGGAGCGAAGGAGCAACCAGGAGTTCTGTAAGAACATGCTAGTGAAACTTGTAAGAGTTGATGAATATGGGGGTGTCCCATGTAGGGAGTCCGTCTCCTTTTTAGGGTGTTCCAGTAGGCATCTGGCTATAAATGTGAAGAGTTGGAACCGAACTGCAGCGGATGCATGAGGTCCCATGAACCATCACTTCTTCATTTGAGAGCTGATGAACGGGGGGACCCTTATATTCCACGCTTCAGGGTGGTGGAAGCCGGAAAATCCAAGAACCCACCGTGGTTGCATGGGTCCCTGAAGTGGCAGCCGTGCTCCGGGTTCATTTGATGGGCTTGGCAGACA